GTTCTACACTATGCTGCCATACCTGTAACCTGCCTGTGAGTTACCTATTTAAACACTCTGTTTATTAACCTATACAGATCCAAATCTAATATCACTGCAACACCTAACTGCTTAAGCTAGCTAGCTCGTTACAGATCCATTTACTCAAATTAGCTTAGGTCCTTTCGGGATACACTATACCAGACACATTGCTAGTATTGCAGAGCCAGTTAACCTTGAAGCAAACCCACTAGAGCAGCCAGTACCCATTTTACAGGATTACCTAGATTAGACCCTTGTAGATGTTCATATAATCCTAGTTCCTACTGTGGCTCTCCACCAGTTTTTCTGTATTCTATTTTCTTAGATGTTTCATGAAGCAGATCCTCCCAATTCAGTTAGCCGCCAAGCCAGGTTGGTGTTACTGATTCTCCCTGTGGAATGGATTTATGCGTACCCGACTTGATCTGCATCTTTTGATCATAGTTTCCTTTTTGGATCAAGCATTGACCAGTGTGACCGTCGAAAGCCGTACTACTTTATCTACTCAGGATTTCTACCATGCAGGTTCCCTGCCCGTAGATCCTATCAAGATTTATTCATGTAACGTTACGTCTTACCAAACACCTTGTCACACTTCCAATATCCGGATAATATTGGTACAACGTGATTTACAGGTTACAACCCCAGAAACGGACAGAGTTTACCGTAAGTTGGATACAAAGGTCCGGGTAATTATTCAAATTCGTCAACAGTGGGATTTGAACTCCAGACCTCTTGCATAGTGGTCTGGCAACCTAACCACTACACTAAGATTGCCAGACCTTAATAATAATAAATTATATAAATAATATAAAAATTAATATTAAATATTAATATTTTTACTTGTAATAATTACATTTATACTTTTTAGCTTGTTGATCTAAAGTAAAATGATTATGAACAATAGATTTAAGCTTTTTTTTATCTAGTTCAGTATTTATATTTTCTTCAATAAAAGGGTTTTCTTTAATAGAAGAATTTTCTTCAATAAAAGGATTTTCTTCAATAAGAGAATTTTCTTCTATAAGAGTATCTTCATTTATTTGATTAGAATTTGTTTCATCCTTATTACTAAATATTTCTTCATCTTCAGTAATATTTTCATTTTGTTTTGAACTATTATCTGATATATCTATATCAATAATTTCTGAAATATTACTTTCAATAATATAATTTTCATCAAGAAAAAAATCAGATTCATCAAATTCCATATTTAATCTCTAAATAACTAAAAATTATAATAATAAAATTAATTATAAATAATTTATTAAATATTAAAAAAAAATTTAATGCAATTCTAATTTTAATAAATAATTTAAATTTTTTTAAAAACTTTAATCTAATATATCTCAATAACTACTTAACCAAAATCAATAAAAATTTTTTACAGATCTATAGAATTCTAATAAAAAATTTTTATTAAAATTAGATAATTGTTGAGATATCTTTGCTCAAAGTTAGTAAATAATTTAAAATATCTTCAAAATAGAAGTAGAAACTAAACAAAACTTTTTTAAAACTTTAAACAATAATATTTTCATAATTACCTAATAAAAATTGATGAAATTTTTTTAGTTAAATTTTCAGACAAATAAAATTCAAATAAAAAAATTTTTATTACAATTAGTTAGGTGGTTGTCAAAATATCTTTGTTCAAAGTTAATGATTTAAAATTATTAAAATAAAAATTGTACTAAAATTTTTTAAATTTTTGTATAAAGATATCTCTACAATCAACTGTTCAAAATCGATAAAAATTTTTTTAATTATATTCTACAGATAAGTAAAATTTAAATAAAAAAAATTTTATTACAATTGGTTTGATAATTATTGAAATATCTTTATTCAAAATTAAGAACTAATTTAAAATTATTAAAATTAAAATTTTTTAAAACTTTGAATGAATACATCTCTACAATTACCTGATCAAAATCAATGAAAATTTTTTTTATTAAATTCTACAAATAGGTAGAATTCAAATAAAAAAATTTTTATTACAATTAGTCAGATAGTTGTCGAGATATATTTACTTAAAGTTTTAAAAAAAAATTAGTACAGCTTCTAATTAGATAAGTATTTTAGATTGTTTACTAACTTTGAGTAAAGATATCTCGACGAAAATGTGACCAATTTCACTAAAAATTTTTTGTTTAAATTCTAAAAAATCATAGAATTTAAATAAAAAATTTTTCATTAATTTTAGTTAGGAGGTTGCCAAGATATCTTTGCTCAAAGTTTAAAAATCTTTTAATTTCTTAGTACTTACAATTAATTAAAAATAATTTCATTGTATATAGAAAAAATTAAATTAGATGAAAGTAAAAAATAAATATTTAATAAATAATAAATATTTAAATAAATAATTAATATAATTATTACTATATTTGATTCAAATAAATTAGAATTTAAATAGTTAAAAATGTACAATTTTAGCTACGTATTATATATATATTTGCATAAATTAGGATTTAAATAGTTAATTCGTAATTCACCTATGAGTAATAGTATTTATATAGTAAAATTTGGGGCAAATTTAATATAAGTATTATAATATAGTTTGAATCTGACTCTGATCTATAGTAAAGTTATTTTTTTATCAAGTTAACTATCTTTTAGCTTCTAATAAAAGTTGTAGAGCTAAACTTTTTGCACTTATCATCAAAATTTCATTAAAATTGGCTTGGTATTTCTTGAGATATCTTAATTTGTCTCTTTAAATTTTATAAAATTTCTTTACAAATTTGTAAAAAAATTTTATAAGATTTAAAGAGAAAAATTAAGATATCTCAAGAAATACTAAGCCAATTTTAATGAAATTTTGATGATAAGTGCAAAAAGTCTAGCTCTACAACTTTTATTAGAAGCTAAAAGATAGTTAACTTAATAAAAAATAACTTTACTATAGAGCGGAGTCAGATTCAGACTATATTATAATATTTATATTAAATTTGCCTCAAATTTTACTATATGAATACTATATGAGTACTATTACTCATAGGCAGATTACGAATTAATACATTTATATTAGCTTGAATCTTAATATATTTTGATATAATTTGAGACACAAACTCTACATACCTACAAATAGTTAAATTCTTTTCTGAACAAGCATTTTCTTAAGCTAAAAAATATCTCAAAGAAAAACATAACATAAACTTTCAAGAATTTGCAAACTTAGAAGATTCTCTATTTCTTTTAGAAACTTCTTTTCAATAAGATCTTCTATATACATAGATGCAACTACTGTCTCTAATTTGGAATCTTATCTTACTAATAATAGTAAGCTAAATCTAGAGAAGAATAATATAAGTAGGTAGATAGGAAGCCTATTTACATGGCGACTCAAATAAATAATGGTCAGATTCAACGCACAGAGCAGACTTTTGAATTTGGCATAGCTATGAAAACTGAGCATACTGTGAGCGCATATATAGAAGACCTTTTAGTGCTTCTAATTCTAACATTATTAGAACCCTTTGAAGCACTAACTTGCTATAACACATTTCTAAAATTTTATAATATGAATTCACTAAAAACTGATCAAACTATTAGATTATTTATGAAACATTTAAAAGAGAAAAAATTCACTAAACCTACAAAATTTTCTATTAACAAACAACTTAATGAAGCTCATATATATCTTCCTTGTAATAACAATATTCTCTTAGATCATACACCACTTAATCTCTTTACTCTCTTCTAATACTATAACACTCCTCTCAGAACTTTCACAAATCTAATTATTCCTAATTTCGATGATAACTTAAATATTACTAATCTACTAACAAATTTTTTAAATAATACTAATTCACAAACAACTACTAATACTAATATTAACAATACTAACAACTCACTTTCAGGTCTGGTGATCTTAGTGTAGTAGTTAGGTTGTCAAACTGCCATGCAAGAGGTCTAGGGTTCAAATCCCACTGTATACAGAATTGAATAATTACCTAGACATCTGTATCCAACTTACAGTAAACTCTACTCGTTTCTGGGATTGTAACTCTGTAAATCACATTGCACCAATGCCAATCAGGATATTAGAAGTGTGACAGAGCATTCAGTGAGACATAACATTATACAAATAAATCTTAATAGGAAAATATTAGTGTAGCAGTAGTTAATCACAGGATGATATACACATACTGATCTATGAGCAGGGAATCTGCATGGTGGAAATCTCGAGTTAGGTGAAGTAATACGGATTTCAACAGTTATACTAGTTTATACCTGATCTGGTAAAAGAAATTTGTGGCTGAAAGATATGACCGAGCAAGTGTGAGTAAGTCTGTCACACAAAGTCATACAGCAACACCAACCTGGCTTGGCAGCTAACTAGATTGGGAGGATCTGTCTCGTGAAATATCCGAAAACATAGAGAACCAATCTAGTAGAAGGTCATAGTAGGAACCGAGTTTGTACAAACATCGAATAAGGGTATATGCAAGCTAGATTGGGATATAGCATAGCATAGTTAGGTACTACAGCACCCCATCAGTTAGGAAGTTGGTGAAGGGACACCTTGTGATAGAGTCTAGGCTCCAAACTATAAAGTTTGTGAACTAATGTCAGCTCGGATGTCTTCTAGGAGAAGTAGCACAGGGTTAGGCGAATTTAGTAAAACAAGGATAGAATACGAGTAAGTGTCATAGAGCCAGAAAGTTTAAATAAGTAATCTTCAAATAGATTTCAGGTATAGCAGCTAGTGTAGAACCTTCGAGTAGACTACTTAAATTAGATAATCTAAAGTTGTACGTGTGGCTAGTTGTACTCTCATATTATATATCATTTACTCACTATCAATACCAATAAAAATTCGGCCGATAGCATTTGTATAAAGTAAAAAAAAAAAAAAAAAAAACAATTCACTTTCCCTTAACATTGTAACTCATAATGTTAGGGGATACAACAACTCTCTTAAAAAATAACTATGGGAAGAATTTTATCTCTCTCATAACTACAATATTATTAGTTTAATGAAAACCAAACTCACTAACTCTAAATTAAAATATTTCAATACTAAATACTTTACATACCATCTATCAAATTCTACTTCTTCAGTAGAAAGAACTAGAATTATGATCTTAAATAATCTAACATTACATATTTACAAAATTTTTAAACATGAAGAAAGAGCAATTTCTATTGATCTTTTCTTCAAACATGATTTCAAATTTAGAATAATTTCAGTATATCTTTCTTCTACTGATATATCACGTAAAATTCAATACAAACTAAAGTCAACTAATAGATACAACAAGTACTTAGCCAACAACTCTATCTAATAGTTCTTGGTGACTTTAATGTAGATGTCTTTACAACAAATTCAGCAAGTTCAAAATTCAGACTCGTTAACTTCCTTACAAGTAACAATTTATATGATCTTGTCAACTATACATCAAATACATCCTAGACATAACATAATACCAATCACAAACTAGAATTGACTCATATAGTGCTATAAATCTATAATACCATATCTTCAAAAATTTAGTTTAGAAGATCTATTAACATCTACACAAAGTAATCATATGATACTTATATCTTCATGGTTATTTTTTTATGCTAACACAAACTACAAACAAAAATTTACAGCAAATAGAAAGATCTTTGATTATAGCTCTATGAACAAAGAAATCTGAGAAAAATTTGCAGACCAAGTTAATTATAATCTCAATTAAAACAATATTTTACTTGATACAAATACTAGCAACTCTCTCAAATCATACTGGCACAAAATTCAAACAAGTATTATTTCTGCTACTCTTAAAATAATACCTAACAAAAAGATTAAATTTCAGAACTTTCACCATACTCACTCACAAAAAGCTACACAACTCCATCAAGCCTTAAAATTAATAGGACAAATTATTCATCAAGTCAAATATGCATACAATAACAACCTTTCAATCCCAACTAATATTCCTTCTCTGATTAATATGATCAATTAACAACAAAATCTAAATATTAACAACCTTTCTGTTAATAATGATGAAATTCTAACTTTGTTTAATAATCTACAAGCACACTAGAAAACCTTATACAAAGCTTGAGAAATAGAAAACTCATCACATATTTGACAACAAATTAATATAGCAACAGAAAAATGATGCTTTACGCTTCAAATACAACCAACTAAAATGATTAATAGTATTCTTGATAGGCATACTGATCATGTTTCTTTTCAAAATTTTAAAATAGATACAGA